TGACAGCCAAGTGCTCAGCTCTGGTTAAAATAGCAGGAACCAACTGGGATAGTTTTACAGACACAATTGAAGGTTTCAATAGTTTTTGTGTTTAGAATGTCTAGATGTGAAGATGTGCCTTAGTTACGCTAAATGACAATACATCCCAGTGCCTTTTCACTGTATGGCAGTTCCTGATATTTTATAAACGCTATCTGTACTGGTTGCTTAAAACCTGCAAGGTCTTTGTGTTGATCTACCTGGATGTGAGCTCATTTTTAATAAATCTCCCCAGCGTAAGTAAAGTGCAAAAATTTGGCACGGATAAGCCATCACTGTATTTCCAGAAGATTACTTAAATAAACCTGTCTTTCAGGAGTATTAGGCATAATTGAAAAAGTGTTGTAGTAGTTAGATGTACAGGTATGCTGCACACACAATGTATGCTGTCAGAATACTTAGCAAAACAGTTCTTATCAGGGCTTTTGTGGTGGTAATGCCTGAAACAGCAAGTGAAACAAACTATTTTGTATTTTTGGAAAAGCTACTTCTTGTCTGATCCTGAAATTAAAGCAAGTTTTTTGTCCATTTGAACCAAAATGGGATTTAACAGTTTAGATGCAAACTCATTACCTGATACTGTTCTTTGTATACTTTTTATTCAGCTTTTAAATAGAATTCTTCAATTTTGGTGTCAGATCTGGTAAATATGTAAGGTGCCTGTAAGAAGACCATAATGGTAACAGTAAGAAAACTGCTAATTTTGACAGTGATCTACCTTGCTGTATATGTTTTCCTGGGGAAGATTTACATGCAGTGGTAAAAAGCTTCTGAAGAAGGTTCTCATTAGAGTAAATAACTTGAAAGAACTCGAAATTTTTGTCCAGAAGATTGAGCATCTATGGTCTTCAGACCAGTGTAGCTCCAGAAACGTGAACTGAGGAGCTTCATGGGAGCTGTAAACAGAGCTGAAAAATACGAACATCTGTCTGGGGCTTGTGTGAGAGTAATCCTGTCAGCTCCTTTGTACTTGACTTGGCTTTATATCTATTTCCCGTTGTTTATTTGTTTTGAACATTTACAAGAAGGATTTCCTGATAAGAATGACTAGAGGTTCCAAGTAAATTTAAAGAAAAAAACCAAAGCAACCAACAGAAGAACCCCATTCCCTTATCTGCCTAAACAAATGCAAAAGCTACTCATAAGCCATTACTATGTTGGCTTTCATGTAAGGATCTCAAATGCAGATTCTTTAAAGGAAAAAAAAAAAAGATGTGTGATAACTGACATGGACTAATTCCTGTTCTGAAGAATTTAGTGGTTGGCTACAGCAAGTAGCATCATTTCAAGGGGCAAAGTCACTAGGGCTTTTTTCTGCTGTGGGAATAGTGGTAAGCTTAGAAGTTAACTTTAGTTTTTGTGTGCATAACCAATTCCTTTAAAAACAGGTAATGAACAGTAAAAGGACAGCGTCTCGGATGTAGGTATTAATACACAGTCAATTCTGAGGTATTTTGAAACTACCTGAAATGAATGAGCTGGTAGCCACGAACTCTTTCCTGAGCAGCACTGATTTTAAGGGCAGATAATTGTAAGGTTTTAAAGCAAGCAGTAGCAGCTACCACAAGGATTAGATGAAGAGAGAAAGGATTCAGCCAGGGCTGAGAGGAGAGTGTGTAAGGCAGCAGAGATGGAAAATAAAGGAAAACAATAAATGTGAAGTTCAGCTACTGCAGCATACAGTTTTTTGGCATATACGTTTGTTCACCATCCCTAACCTTTCTTGACACCTTAGCATGTTGGAGTTCAATGGCATGGCTGTATGCTGTAGAAGAAAACTAGGTGGCTGGGAGGGTACTTAGTGCAGGAAAAGTCAGGAAAGAAGTAGCTGCCAATAAAGGCAGTTAGAGCAGGAACCCAGACAGTGGCTCTTTTTTCCTTCCAAAATAAAACACCTTTTTTCATCTGCCTTCTCCTATTTTATGGGGTGTGGAAGGGAATAGTGTTAGGGGAACAGTTTCCCCTCTGTTCTGTGTTGAGGCTTAGGGGAGTCTAGAAGTGGCTCCATCAGTCACACGCAGGGCTGATCTTGTGTTGGCCCTTCACCGTGTAACTGGGTGAGGTCTGTGTTACAACAGCTTGGTTCAGAGAAATTGGGTTAAACAAGACGTTTTCTTACTGGGATTCCTTGCATCTCATCTGAAGGCTGGATATCTGTAGCTATTGATCTCTTCCATGAATTTGTCTAATAATTTTTGAAACCATTGGTGCTGAAGTGTGAGAAGTGAGTTTCATATCTTGATGCATTGTGAAAGGATGTACTTTGTTCGCAGCTGTTGCTGATCGTGTTTTGACACTCCTCTAAAAACAGTGGATAGTCATTAAAAAGATTCAGCATCTTTATGGAATTGATAATTGAGACATTTCTGTCATTTCTCCTGTTATCTTTTTTAGATATCTTAATACCTTTTTGCCATTCATACTATATCCTTCTTACCCTTTTCAGATCTCTTTTAGTGCTATAGTACTGTATCCTTTTTTGAGAAGTACAGGTGATTGAAATTTAGGTGCAACATGATTTTTTTAAGTGGTATAAGTATGGTTTTTTGTTTTGTTCTCTGTTCCCATATGATAATTCCTAGCACTATATTTGTCTTTTTTGATCATTGCATGACAGTCTCTTTACTTTCTATTGGGAATCTTAAGGATTCCAAAAAGATAGACTTTTAAAGTAAGTGTCGAAGATGTGAATCATTTTCTCACATATTTATTCCATTGTAGCACATGCTTGTTTTGAAAAGTTCACTACAATAAGCACAGTAGCAGACTATTAAGGTGTAATTCATGTGTCCAGGAATTGGCACTGTTCTCTTAAGGACTGTGTATACTGTGAATGTTAAAGATACTTTTTTTCCACATTTAGCAGCTGCAGTTAAAAGAGGTTCTACTGCAGTGTTTCTCTAACTTTGTTTTGATGTATGTTCTTGAGTTGCCAGAGGACCACTCGTTTTAACCCCATGTTGCTGACTGGGTCTACTGAATTGTCTTGTCAGCTCTTTAACTGCATCTCTTCCTCATTTGTCTATGAAGTGTGTATCTTGTAGTAGTAGATTTTCACTGGGGCATATCCAGTGTATTCTGCTCTAAAACTTCCTGAAAGCTGCTCTGAGTGATGCTTGGGAATACAATGCCTGTGATGGTTTGGGTTAATGGTAGCACCTGTGTGGTACAGTTTCAAAGAAACTAAAGCAAAAGGTGCAACTTCAGACAATCTAGGGCTGTGCTTGTTTAAAAAAACCCCAAAACGCCCTCACCCCAAACCCCTGAAAAACCTACCCAGTGGTTCCTTGAATTTGAAAGGGGCTTTCTTGAATATCGAAAGTAGTAGTGGATCAAGATGGCTGTTTCTTGTACACTGAAATGGAGCATAACTGGAAGGAACAGATATTATTGAATAAAGGCTGTGGAAAGTGGGTGTGGGAGAAATGATCCTGCTCTTCAGGGACAGCAGTTGCATCGTGTCCCCTGCGCCTGAGACAGAATTTGTCACGATAGTGTAATGTATATGATCCAGGATATATGATGTATGATCATCCAGGATTTTGTATATTGTGTTTTTGTTTCTCTGCCACAAAAATTAAAAAACAGTAGTATTTGGGTTGTTGTTTGTTTTTTTTTTGCATTACAGACTTTGTTTGTAACATTTTAACAAAAATATTCTAAGTTTTAAAAGTTTTTTCCATGGAAGTAACTTTGGCTAGTTATTCAAGTTTAGGCAGTAGCTAAAAGGCAAGGATTTTTTTTAATTATGACTTTAAATTAGTTTTGTAATATTCTAGTATCGGTGACAAAAGTTTAAATTGTCTTTGTTGTTAATTCATTTTTTTTGAATCCTGATGTTCAGAAGAGCCTGACAAAAAATGGGCTTACAACGGCAGTGTTTAGTAGCGGCCAGTTGTGGGGAGAAAAAACAAGAGAAAAATAAAACTTAAAGGAGTCAGCCTCTTGGAACACAAACAGTTGCTACAGTTAGAATTCAGAGGCTGATGCAGGTAGCAAATTCACCCATGGGTGTATAGCAGAGGTGTTTGCTATGTTCTTGCCTGCAAAATAATTCATTTGGTCATCTTGTCAAACTGAACATGTAAGCTGAGGTCTGTGTTCATTACTAGTTTGAAAGAGTGAACTAGTAAATTGAAGCAAAAATAACATTGTAGTCATGAGATCATTATCCTACATCTGAATAGATGGGTGGTATAAGCGAAGAGGTGAGCCATCTGCATCTCTCTGCAGCTGGGCATGGAAGTGTGGTGCTGCTGTGGAGGCTGGGCTACAGAGACTTTATCTGTGCAGCAGAGGATGTGAGCGTATCCTCGCACTTCATGGTCAGAGATCAATATTCTCTAAAAACCCCAGCCCTTGAAGAAAAGGAAGTCCACATGAGCTTGTCCTTTGGTATACCACTAGTTGGATGATCTTTCTCTCTACGCATCTGAGTAGTTCTTCAACTAAGCTCCCTAAGTCCAGGAGACACGGCGGTTTTCTGTTAAACTTTCTGATAGCTTGAGTTAGCATCAGTCTCTCAGTGAAGCAAAAAGATGCCTCGTGATTAAAATTAGCAAGACAGCTTCAGTTACATTTCTAAATTTATTGCAGACGATGAAATTAAAATCAGTCTTTTGTTGGAAGACTGATTGATTGTCGCTGGAAAGTATTTGATTTTTTTATTTTTAATAGTAGATTTAGAATGTAGCTAATTGGTGTGTCCTGGAATGTTCTTCTTCCACTCGACATTGAAAAGCTAACAAACACTGACAAAAGAAATATAAGTAAAAAATTATAGTGGATGGAAATAAATCCGTTTTACAAGTTGAGCTACCGTAAATGATCAGAGCTCTAATACAAGAAAGATGTATTCAGGTATATTACTGTTCACTGAAATTCCTATCTATACATATATTCTTTTGTGTGTCTGTTAAACATGATCTTAACATGAAGCCCTTTTTCTCCTAACTCAAAAGCTTTCTGGAAGTTGATGAATACCATACATAATGGTAAGTTATATTAGAATCTTTTTCAGAGGTTCATTTATCACAAAGGGCAGCCTTTTGTGGAGAAGCCTGATTGAAGGTCTGCATATTCTGTGGATTGGGTGAAATCCGGGTGAGCAGTGAGTCAATTGTTCCGTACCTGAGTGAAAACTTTGTAGCTTGTCTGCAGGAGCCTGATAGGTCAATAGTTCCTCAGTTCTCTCTTTATGATCTTTTTGTATGCGTGCAGTAAAATGATAACAGTTTTATGCCAGTTCTGAGATTCTTTTCTTTAATTTTGTGAATAGTGTTTCTAGTTGTTCTTCTGTGCTCCATTCATAGGTGTGTTACAGTGGTGTCTACCTCGGGCATTCTCCCACTTGCCTTCCTGACTACTTAAATTACTACAAGTAAGGCATGTGAAGGTAGCCTTGTTTTGTCCGTTCTTTGTTCTGGCAGCCCGACGCTGCCCATTTGTGTTGCTGATAACAATGCTATCCGTTTCAGAAGGAGCAATATTGAATCTTTAATGTATCTAATTGCCGTTTCCCTTTAGTATTCCATATTGGCTTTGTACTCCTAGTTCTGTGTTCACTCATAGCCAGTGGAAATGAAATCTATCTTACTAAATTAGAACTTGGTTTACTTTTTCAAGGCTTTATTCATTTGTAGGAAACAATCATAGCTATATTCACAAGTTATTGAAAGTTTAATAAAGGGAATTTTTACACTTAAAACCCTCTCGTGAGACTAGTTTTGAAGATGATCAAGTTTATTTCTCAATGTTATGTTTAATTGGAATCAGGCAATCTGTTAATAAAAATTGAATTTTTTTTATCCATTGATGTCAGCCAAATAGTGAGTTTATTACTGCTGTAGGTGTATGTTGGAAGAGCAGTGCTGTATACATTGCAAATTGTATTGATTTGGAGTTCAGTGTATGAAAAAGAATTTTCATGTTTAAACTTTGCATGGTGAAGTTCTTTGTGTTTTAAGGTACCAATCGTTAAGGTTTTATAGGAATTTGCTTTTCACATTGTCAAAGCCACAAATTACGTCTTAGTCAGATGTCTATAGTGGTCAGTCTCTTTAATATTGTTTTTTGAATTATAATGTGTATTTCGTGATCTACATGTGGTGAGAAATACTGAAATTTCTTAGATTTGCTTTGCTTTAGTAAAATAGGTTTAGCTTTTTTCCTTTTGATATAGGGTTTTCCCCTCTCACTCTCCCAGGTATACAGTGCTCTGAAACCAGCTTTGAGATGAAGGAAAGCAAGCTCACCATTTTTCTGAAAAAATAATAAAACATCTGAAGGGTATCTGACAAAGTGTGCTGAATTTGGACTTGGTGAGTTTCTGCTGTTTTATAAGCAGAGCCTTTTTGCTGTTTAATGTTGAAGAGGTTTGGGTTCACAGCAGTGTGCAGAACAGAGATGGAAGGAACGCCGTTCGTGATGACTTCTTTCCACTCTGCACTTTTTAAAAAAAACTGATTGTGTGTTCCTAACTCCAGCATGGGAGTTGGAAGGTCATAGAGCAGACTGGTTACTTAATGTTGTATGCTTTCTTGTCGAGCAATAATAATGCTCTGTATGACTCATTACTGTTGGGCAGCATAATGTTTGTTTTAGAACATGTGTTTGGACAGGATTTATCATCTAATCTGACTTTGTTTATTTGTTTGTTTTGTTTTTCTGAGGGGAGTGTGTGTGTTTTAGCTACCTTCCCTGTTTCTCTAAGTAAGATCTCAAAGTTGGTTAGTTTTTTCCCCTGAATTTTGCAGGGTGGGGTTTGGGGTTTTTTGCGTACTTTTGTTTTGACAGAAGCATGTATATGGGTGAAATCAGTGAGGGTAGGGAAATTTTGAGAATATGAACAGGAAGGAAAGTTCTTGCCATGAATGTATAAGATGAAAAGAAAGTATTCAAACTTGAGATAAATATTTAAATATGGGAAGACAATTTACACCAACAGCATATTCAGATTGTGAGTCAGATAATGCTGAGGACTGTAAGAGTCCTTGTCTGTAGGAGTTTTGATGGAGCTTGTTTTCTCATGGCACTGAGTTAAAATTGGCTGCACATCAGCAAGGAAGTACTGAAAAGAAAAAAGAGTTTTGGTTTGAGTGGAGACAAATGCAAGTTTGGAGCAGAGAGGCTCATCTGATAGCTATGCTGGTATAAAGGTGATGGTCGAATCCTGTCAATTGAATTCAATGCTGACAAAGTGTAAAGGAGGAAAGATGATGGCTCAAGACTTGAACGCATTTGAAAGGGTCAGTTTAAAAAAAGGACTAGAAAACAGAGTAATGCAGACTGTATCTTCCATAAAGATACCTGTCTTCATAGAAACTAGTCAGGGCACTCCAAGGCAGAAGTGGCACATTGCTTTTTTGCCAGTAAGAGACTTAGCATTCCACTTATCAGTTTTATGATCAACTTACTGTGTTTTTCATGCTTTTTAAAAAACTTGTTCAAAAAAACGTGAGAAATTGCAGTTGAGAGATCTAAACTTTTCACTGGTATTTGCCGTGTGATAACTTTGTGCTTTGTCCTTCTCAGTCTTATTCTGGACCTTACAGTCAAACTTTTTGACTTGACCTTGAAGTCTCATCTCTTCTGCATCATTTTTATGGCCCTACCACTGGAAAGCAGGAGGAGGGGATATAGGCATACATATCTGTTGAGGAATTTACTGCATACTTTTAAAAAAGACTACAGGGAGTGATGACCTGAATGTTACAGTTTTATGTTAGAGCTAGCTGTAAATGGTAATGGTTGGTTGTAGCCTTTCTGCTACAGTAGCAGAAGAAAGTCTGTAGCTTTCTGTTCTGGCTCGTTCTGTCTTCTGATTTAATACTTACTCCTGTTCTGAGGTCTCTGTTGGTGCTTGTTCTGTGTTACTCTAATTTGTGAGGTACAGCAAGGAGAGTCATAGCACATAGCATCCTGCCAGTCCTAGCACTGTGAGCGGCTTTAGAAGACAGCACATTGCCAAAGGAAACTTTCAGTTCTGTAGACTCGACCTTTGCATCAATGCAAGCAAAAATTAGTATCTTTGATGTGATTTTTTTTTTTTGACAAGATAACCTAAACCTGTCAGAATCTCTACTGAGCATGAATGAGTTAACATTTTTAATCTAGCCCAACTTGGGCAGGCTTTTACGGCATTGATAAAAAAGCATCTGTTTGTATTGCAGCATGAGGACATTAGTGCTTGGCTAAACCATATGAATTTTATTTAAAAAAGGAAGAACAAGAGAAAGACAAATTACAAAGTCATCCTGAAATAGTTCCTTTATGCCCATTTTTTTCAGAGTATTGAATAATGTAGTGTTATTGTTCAGTTACCAAATATTACGACCTTCAATATAAGTACCTGTCCATTAGTTTCTAGAATGCTACTTCAAAGCTTTAGTTGTTGCTAATGACAGCTGTGTGTAGTCTTCCAGCAGTTCAGGCAACAGCTGTTCCCCACCTAACAGAATTGCTGTTGTTATTCGTTAGCCTCTCTAATGACGCTCTTTTTGAGAAATCTGGCTCAATCAAGCAACATGCCTTCAAAGTCACCAGCTTCAGATGACTGGAGTCCAAAGGGGAGACAACTTTTGAAGTAGAAGCTCCTTTAAAAGATTATATTATGTTAACAGTGAAGAGGAACCTAGTGCTTCTGGTGGCTCACCATTTCAGCACTGACATAGATTGCTGTCAGAATGGTTTGAAGATAGGTAGGTTTTCAGAGATCTTAAGCAAGCACATTAAGTTCTCCCTGGAAATCATTAAGAAGCGTAGATCACAAGTGTCATGCTTTTACTCAGGAATACTCATTTAGTGAGCCTAAAACAGCTTTTTATTATGTCATATGTGACACGCTTGAAGTACAGGTCTTCATTGTAGTGCTGAGCATATGTATCTCAGGTGTGATGATGGAGCTCTTTATCTTACTGCTCTTATTCTAGAAGAATACTTCAAAATGTGTTGAATCCGACTAGGATAAGCATGACATTCTAAATGTGTATTATTTCATAAAGCTGAATTAATTATACATTTGAACCTTAAACAGGCACTTATAAGGCATCTCGAAGATTTATTGTGGGAAATCGGAACATCTGGGGGAAACAAATGACAGGAGCTTTGTCCTTGTGTCATCCCTGTCTTCTACTCCCATCCCCCCAAAAAAAGACGACACAGTTTTGACTGAAGTATAACTTTGCTGTGGGACATGGTGTGAAGACTTACAACTATTCTGAAAGGATTGGAAGAAATTCATTGGGTCAGGGTTGGAAGCAAGTTTAAGGCTAATAAATACAAAAACCATTCCTCAAGCTCAAAATCTGCAAGTTGTAGATTCCTAGAGGCTGGAAGAATAGTTGAGGGAAGTATTACTTCATGCTTGCCCTTTTCTTGTGCTGTTCCTTGTGCAGCTGCTGTTGGAGACTGTCAGAGATTGAGATACTCAGCTAGAAAAATGGTAACAGTTCTCCTTGTGTCTCTATTCCAGCAGGCCATTCATCTGCCTCCTTGTGTTATGGTCAAACCTCTCCTCTCAGAGATCGAATTCCCCTGGGCTGGGCTGAGAAAAACGTGGGTTTAAGCCCTTCTGCTGTGGAGGGCTGTAGTGTAAGACCTGTAGCAGGTTGAATTAATTCAAGGTAGGAGTAGATGCACTCTGCACCAGGAAGCTGCAACATTTCTGACAGTGGTTTAGGCAGTTTTGAAGTCTTGAACTTAAAAGGCTGCCTGTGGAAGTAAAAGTCTGATTGAGGGCTGTGTATTGACTGAGCTTGGTTGAAGCAACTTGTATGTGTTGTTTCATGTTAGTTAACTGATGTATGTATTCCTCACTGTTACGGTTTATTGAAGAGTGAGCTCTGTGACACTGACAGGTATGGTCATTAATGAATGTGGGACCAGGTATAAAGTAACATTGTTTACTATAGCTGGTGGGATGAGCTGAATAGAGGAGACCATTTTGGTAGCTACATGGATCAGTTCTGATCCTTCACCCCCCACCCTGTTATTG